AACTTAAAAAAAAAAAAAAAGTAGTTAACCAGTTAAATGTTATTTAATTCAGCACCAAAGAGCAAGGAGCTAATTGCTAGCTAGCATGAGGTTCTTTCACTTAACAAAATATTGGGGACATGTTTCTGTATTAATATGTATACTTCTATAAATCTTTAATGTTAAATAATGCACCAAAATATGGATGTTGTAATAGTTATTTAACTAGCCCCTAATTGGAGTGTGTGTGTGGGAGTGAGTGTTGTATCATTTTCAGTTTGGGGCTACTCTAAATAATGCCTCTGGTGAGCTTTGTTAGAGTTGAACTTTTGAGTACAGCTTAAGGAAATCTCTTTGCCTCTGGAAGAGATTCACAGTTGCTCTGCCGTTGGAGCATTGCTATCTGGCCTACCTCTTTTACACATTTATACTGGGTAGGCCACTTAAGCCCAGAGTGCATATCCTTTCCTGTTTATAGATTCAAAAGAGTGCAGATTGGAGAAAGCATCTCTTAATTTGTCATTTGTTATGACAGTCATTTATCATAGAAAAAAAATAGATGGGATATAACGTTGGCTGTATTCACTGTAATTTTCCTTTGTTTTTTTGGATATCATTTTCCTTATGAACATGTACTACTTATTTTATGATGAAATAAATATCACTTTAGAGCCAACTTTCAGAAATGCATCTTTTCCACTAAGTGAAGCCCTTCTGTATTATATTTAGTGCTTTATTTCCCATACAGCTTGACTGTTGCACAGTATGTTTATTAATCATACACTTCATAAAAATGATAGATAGCAATACCATATTTTGCAGAATGTGAAATGGGGGCTTAGTGAGTCTAAGTGGTACATAATTAGTTTTTTTTTTTTCTTTTCAGTAACAAGAGATAAAAAGATAGACCTTCAGAAAAAACAAACTCAAAGAAATGTGTTCAGATGTAATGTAATTGGGATGAAAAACTGTGGGAAGAGTGGAGTTCTTCAGGCTCTTCTTGGAAGAAACTTAATGGTGAGAGTTCTCAGAAAATAGAGCTTTATCCAACAAATTTTTATCCTCACAAGTTTACGTAATTTTTTCATAGCCATTAACTTTTTTAGATGATTGCTACAGATCAGTCCGTAACTTGTATGTATTAGTAAAGTGCAATCTAAGGGTAACAGTAATCCTGTTGAACTGGCTTTATCTTGGTTTCATTGCTGTTAGTTATCCTTTGTTCTTGTTTTTGTTTTCCTAAGCAGTGTTTAGGTGGGGGGGTTAAATAAATAGAATACATCTGTGAAAGCACCCAACACAGTGCTTGGCCTGAAGTGAATGGACCGTAAATACATCAAATTGAATACTGTATCTAATTCTGGCTACTGCCCTGCGTACGGAGATGGATGTATTTCCACACGAGTTTCATGGCGGACCAAATTACAGTGTAAGGAGAATTGCTAGCAGGTGGCTCTGCAGTGCACTTGGCAGTGGTGTAGTTTACTTCCTTTTCAGCTCCTGCTTTTACTTTGTGCAGAACAAATGCATCTTCTGAACCAAGAACTAACACCTTAAGACCTAAGAACTAAGAAACATAAAATCAACGTCCCCTCTGTATGGATAAATAATACATAGCTTAGGGAGGAACGCCCTTTTATTTGTAACACACTCACAGGTACATGCAGAGTGTGTGTTGGTGAAAACTAGATACTGTAATTGCTAACTGTAAATACTGAGATTTCTGGTTGTTTTCAGAGACAGAAGAAAATTCGTGATGATCATAAATCCTACTATGCAATTAACACTGTTTATGTCTACGGACAAGAGAAATACTTGTTGGTAAGAAATTCTCTGGCACGTAAAGATTACTAATTATTAGGTGTATTTTTATATGACTTTGAAAACATAATTGGATTTAATTTAGTGGCTGTTTTTAGAACTTTTGTGATTTTTTTTTCTTTCACTTGGTTTATTCATTGGAATTAATTTTAATTCCCTTGATGTGTGTGGTGATTACATGGGTGTAGATATAACTAAAAATCTATTTGTGTGCTAAATTGTGTATTATACACAATAGAAAGTAAAACCAACAACAAAAAATAATTTCTTTCCTCTTCCACTTTTATTTAAAAAAATGTTTCTTCCTCTACTGTTGACTAGAAATCAATATGAAAACTTACTGCGGGTGCTTTTGGTAGTTTATCTATACTCTGAATCGAGTTTTATCTATTTAGCAGGGAGGAGTATAGTTACCAAATGTGTTAGTCCAAAAAAACGGATGAAAGAAGTATATGACTGAAAAGATACTATGAAATACAGTAGTAAAAGATTATATGTTCTTCTTGGATCCAGTCATATTTTGGTTGGAGCCCTGGTCCACCATTGATTAGCTGGGTGACCTCAGGCAAGTGGCTTTTTCTCTCTGAGCCTGAGTTTCTTACTAAGTTAGCTAATATGAGGAGCTCCTAACAAATAATAGATACCAGAAAGAGTTCATTTCCTTTCTTTTTCTTTTTGGAAATTATTTATTCTGCCAGGCAGATGATCACATTGAATTTTATATAGTTTTTCCTCTTTATGATAAAAGTTCTTTGTCAGTTTCTTATTAAACCTGGTTTATCTCTCATTCTTCTCCTATAAGTTTAGTTCTACTCATTGGGTACTCTGTGAATGTAGCTGGCTGTTAATTTTCCTGTTTTTATTCTTCTATTGTTCTTTGCAAATTGATATCTTTCATGTCTCTGAATACCCATGCTATAGTAGTGTTTTATTTGGAATATATTGAATTGCTTCTGACCCTGTGTCTCCCCTTTCGTCTCATCAAAGATACACTCTCTTATATAACTCAATAGTACTGAATTTTACTCTAGTTAGATCATTGTCATATTATAGGTGGGATATTTCTTTAGAGGTTTTATAATAAACATTGAGAGTAGGCAGTGAAGTCAAACAAAATGACCTTAAAGAGTCTTTTGCTCTGCTTTTGTTTTTGCTTTTTTTTTTTTAATTGGTGAGGAGAAAAGGTGGTCTGTAGTCTGTTCGAAAGAGAAGAGACTTGGAATCACATCTGAGCTCAAAGTTTGGTCTGATAACTTGGTAGATGTGTTATATTGGGCAGTTGACTTAATCTCTATAGCTTGTCTAATCTGTATAGAGAATGTGTGTAAAGGGCCTTCCTGGCACACATTGGTCACTAGCTAAATGTTCACTTCCGTAAAACCTTAATTACCATTTTCAGTCCACAAAATCAGAAGCCACTTAGTTATCTACACTTCCCACCTCTAAAAATAGCCTGAAAAGTTATGCTTAACTAGTACTTTCTTATTTGGAAGTCAAGCAGTAATAACACATGACTTGAAGTAAACATTGTTATGATATTAATGTTTATTATCTTTCTCTTTTTACAAGTTGCATGATATCTCAGAATCGGAATTTCTAACTGAGGCTGAGATCATTTGTGATGTTGTGTGCCTGGTGTATGACGTCAGTAACCCCAAATCCTTTGAATACTGTGCTAGGATTTTTAAGGTTTGTTGTTCTTTTGGTCGATAATGTAGTTTAACTTTATATGGAGTTAAATGGAATTGTAATGTGATGTTTTTCTAACCAGGGAGATGCAAGAAAATCACTTGCGGGGCTTTTAAAAATACGTATATTTGTGTCCTATCCCTACAGGTTCTGGTTTCATTTTGAGGTGGTACAGTCTGAGACACATGTATTATAAAATTTTTTTTCCACATGTGCCTCTGATGGGCATTCCTACTTAAGAACCTCTGCATTAGGGGTGCCTGGTTGGCTCAGTCGGTTGGGCGTCCGACTTCGGCGCAGGTCACGATCTCACGGCTTGTGAGTTCAGGCCCCGCGTCGGACTCTGTGCCGACAGCTCAGAGCCTGGAGCCTGCTTCAGATTCTGTGTTTCCCTCTCTCTCTGCCCCTCACCCACTCATGCTCTGTCTCTCTGTCTCTTTCAAGGATAAATAAAACATTTGAGAAAAAAAAAAAAAGAACGTTTGCATTAATGGAAGGTCTTCTTGGCTGTTAGGAATATGCAAGGAGGGATGCCTGGCTGGCTAAGTCGATAGAGCATGCAACTCTTGATCTCAGTGTTGTGAGTTTGAGCCCCATGTTGAGTGTAGAGATTACTTAAAAATGAAATCTTAAAAAAAAAAAAAAAGAAATGCACATGGGTTTTATACATATATATATGTGTATATATATATATATATAGTGAGATATATATATATATATATATATATGCTATATCTCTATATACATATATATATATAGTGAGTTATACCAATAGTAATAATAGAGCAAGGGGAATAACCAGAGGCTTGAAAAGTCCTCAGTCACTTTGAGATTATCACAAAAAGATTCTAATAGAGTAAAAAATATATGTATAAAGGAATTTATTCTAGCATTGTTTTTAATAAAAAAAAGAAAACTAGAGGGGCGCCTGGGTGGCTCAGTGGGTTAAGCTTCTGATTTAAATAGATGTGATCTCACGCCGTTGAGTTTGAGCCCCATGTAGGGCTCTGTGCCTGGCCAGCTCAGCATGAGCCTGAGCCTGAGCCTGCTTCAGTTCGATTCTGTGTCTCCCTCTCTCTCTGTTCCTCCCCTACTCGCAATCTGTCTCTCTGTCTCTCTCTCAAAAATAAGTAAACATTACAAAAACAAACCAGTGGGGCACCTGGGTGGTTCAGTCGGTTGAGTGTCTGACTTCAGCTCAGGTCATGATCACCATGGTCCGGGCCGCGAGCCTGCATGAGTTAGACAGCCTGTGTAGGGCTCTGTGCTGACAGCTCAGAGCCTGGAGCCTGCTTCGGATTCTGTGTCTCCCCTTCTCTCTGCCCCTCCCATGCTCATGCTCTGTCTCTCCCTGTCTCTCAGTAATAAATAAACGTTAAAAAAATTTTTTTTAAAAAACCTAGAAATAATCCAGATGTCTAACAATAAAGGGTGGTTTACCAAATTAAGATAAAATAACAGAGCAGAATATTAAGCAGCTATTGAAAATAATGATTTTGAATTCTGAAAACATCGAAGAGTCGGTGTTATATATATTTTTAATTGCTTTTTTTTTTTTTTTAATGTTTTTACTTATTTTTGAGAGAGAGAGACAGAGTGTGAGCTCGGGAGGGGCAGAGAGAGAGAGGCAGACATAGTATCCAAAGCAGGTTCCAGACTCTAAGCTGTCAACACAGAGCCCAACCTGGGGCTCTAACTCAACGAACCACGAGATCATGACCTGAGCGGAAGTCAGATGCTTAACCTTAAGACTGAGCCACCAGGCACCCCTCAGTGTTGTGTTTTTAAATGACTATGTCCAACATAACTTGCAGCTACAGAAAAGTTTATAAATGCATGTGCTTAAGGACTAGCAGTACATAAAAAATGAAAATAGTGAAAAAATAAACTGTGAAGCAGAAATGTATAAAATGAAAATAGTGTGCTTTATGATAGAGGAATTTAGATGGATTTCTCATTTCAAAATATGGTCTCTTTTTCATAAAATATATATTTTTTCAAATTGTAGTGAATCTGAAGAATCGTTATAGGTTTGTATTATTACCAGTGTTAAGAGAATTGGCCCTGGTCTTATTACGAGACTGCTCTAGACCACTGCCAATCATTGCCTCTTAGTTTACTTTCTCTTTGAAGCTGTGCTTTGCCTAGGCAGAGATAATTTTTAGTACACATTTAATTAAATTTAGTGATTTTTTAAATTTGTCATCAGCCTTTGATTTTTTATTCCATAGCAACACTTCATGGACAGCAGAATACCTTGCTTAATCGTAGCTGCAAAGTCAGACCTGCATGAAGTTAAACAAGACTATAGTATTTCACCTGCTGATTTCTGCAGGAAACACAAAATGCCTCCACCACAAGCCTTCACTTGCAATACTGCTGATGCACCCAGTAAAGATATCTTCGTTAAATTGACAACAATGGCCATGTACCCGTAAGTACTTGCTCTGCCATCATTTTCATGTTGCATGGTTCATAATAACATCGCATGCCATTATTAGCCATGAAGGCAAAACTTTTGTCACATAGAAGTTGTTCAGCAACAGAAAGAGACTTTGTTCTGAGAAGGTACAAATTTGAATAAATGCGAGTTTGGTTTGGGTGCCATAATAAAATTACATAAACAGTGCTTCTGACAGTATTTGTATATTTTTAAGCAGGCTGTAACTATCTTAATAGGATAGTACAATAAAACTCAGCCCCAATCCCAGCATTAAAAAAATAAAGTCTTACTGCATTAAAATGGGGTTGGCATCATGTTGCTTTATGCATTTAGGACATTTCCATATGAACACTTCCATATGAATTTATATTAAATTATAGATATGTTTGAGTTCAGACTATAATGTCTTTTTTAAGTGCTGTAAAAAGTAGTTGTGATTGGAATTCCTGCTATATAAATGTTTTACATTAAGTGTTAATGAGCCATGAATTTTATGTACATTTATTGTATATCTATACATGCATATGCATAAGCACATAACTGTGGACATCTTCATAGCTTACTAACTGCCTTAGAAGTGCATGGTTCTTAATGGCATTCTCCTCAAGTACTGTGTGTGTATAATTCTGTTGTGTAACAAGATAGTTTTTCAGGCAGTGCGTTTCTCAGGACGTTAGCTTAATCTGTTTATTATTAATTTAGTCTCTAAATAATTTTCTTATGAAAACTAGGATATAAAATAGAGTAATAATCAAACATGGCTATAAACTGAAGTCTTGCAGAAGGTGTTAATTTGTGCAGATTTTTCAAGTCAGCGTCAACTTAACTGCTATTCTGTTAACTAATACGTTTTTAAAAAGGCAGCAAACCCTTGAAATTCTATTTGTATTGGAAGACAAGTCATTCCTATTACTATAAGATAAACAAAGCCTTATTTATGTTTTACCTTTGCTTTAAAACTCTCGTGTATGTTATCTACAGAGAGGATCATTACAGAGACAGACTCTCCCGAGACACGGGCAACCCTGATAGGATAGAGAATTTGAGAAAAATCTGGGTCTTTCTAAAAACTGCTTTGTAAGTTACTTTTTCTTTATGGCTTCTGTGGGATTTTGTTGACATTTTCTTATAGATGACCAGATCTCCTTTCTTGCCAGAATTAACATTAATAATTATCCAGAAACGCACTGCTTGGTCCGGCTTATTGCCTAACTGTATATTACAGTGGTGTTTTTTATATTTTGTTTTGTTTTACTATGTAAATGCGCTATATTAATCTTGTAGATAGCTGTGACAGTGTTTTCAGAGCTGCATCTTTAAAACATTTTCCTGCAATTTGTGTGCGTGTGTATGTGTGTGTATATGATAAATGTACATACAGGGACACTTGCTTAGATGGTGACTCCCAAACTACTTCTCATGAAGCATCTCCCTGTTGCTAAGCATACTTTGCATCTCTCCTTTTTGGTGGGTGGAGCTTGTGTATGTTGAAGAGTCAAATTATAAAATAACAGACGGATTCCAGTATGACAGCTGGCAGCAACTTAGTAGCTTTGAGATGTTCATCATCGCAAGTCAGGTTTTTGAAAGGAATGTCTTGAGTCTGTAAGAGTTTTTTTTTAAAAAAATTAATTCTTGTTTTTCTTCATGTTGGGAATTAGGCATTGTTGGGATGCTGCTAATCTCCACAACCATGCCACCGTGCCATGTGGTCTCATCAGATCTCACAAGCTCAGCCAAGTCAGATTGGGCCAGTCCTTTGACTGAGAAGCCTTTAAAAAAAAATGTTCAGGTGTTACAGGAAGTGATGGCATTGATTCATCAGGTGGCACTCTTCTGAGCAGGTTCTGCGCCAGTGCCTCTTCAGGGTGGTGTGATGGCTTTGTGTGTCTGAGTGGCTCTGACCACCGAGCGGTCATTGAAGACCCCCCTACTTTGGTGGTTAGGACGGAGGTGAAATAGGTTGCCCCATGTGCCTGTACCAACTAGTATCACTCCACTCAACCAGAAAGGAGCCAGAAAGTCTCCCTAAATTTCATCTCTAAAATCAATCGGACCCATTGTTGATTTTTACAACCTGAACCCGGAGTTTCATACTGTCATACTCAGCTGCTGTGTTTTAGTAGCAGATGAAATCAACCCTATATTTTGTTCAAGTGGAAATTTATGAAGCACTTTGGTTTCCTTTGGGAGCCAAGGTGCTTGATGAATTAAAGACGATGTTGTTCATATCTCCTCAGGGTTGAATATACTCGTCTTTGTGACTCTTTTGTGTATTTGTCGCTCTTCTCCTTCCTGGTTTTCAGGCATGTGTGTATGCTGAGGGAGGAGGAGGAGAAGGGAATGGTTATTTAAATGCTAGCAAACTGTGTCTTTTCGGTGGGTGCTATGGCTTACTCGGTTTTTCTTTTTATTAATTTACATGAGGGTGCCATCTATTGCTGTGCATATTTATTCCACTAAAACTCTTGTAATAATAATTCCATCCCCCCTCCAAAAAAAGCCAAAAGTGTTAGCTGATTTTCCTTAGATTTTCTCTAGGGAGGGAGGAGGGAGCTATTGCTGTTTATTATATTTTTGGTAAATGTGGAATTCTGCACAACTTTAGCATGCCCCACACTGTCCTTTTCCTTAGTGTTGCTTATGCCTAAATCTTTTTTTTTTTTTAAGTTGGCACACCCTGACTTGTGCCGTATTTGTAAGTAAGAACTCAACTCCTGTCCTTCTGTGTGTTTTCGCAGCCATGCCCGGTTACGCTGTATGTGCACCTGCAACAGGTGTACATTTTGCATCTGTCAGAACTTCCTCAACTCAGACTTGCTGCAATCTGTAAAGAACAAAATCTTCACTGCAGTTCTTAACAGGTTCTTAACTTTATTTACTGGGTACCAGGCATTCTGTTAAAATACAAAAGAAAAAAGTTGATAACTATTTATTATACATCTACTCACTACAAAGACAACAAGCCGACTGATGCCCAACTAACTTCCACTAAAATACTTACTGTGGTGACAGTGTTTTTAGGGGACTTACAAGATTTTGAATTTCTTTTTCATGAAGGAAGTTAAAGTATTTTTCATATTAGAGGATAATATGTATAGGGAGATTACAATCTTTTGGTTGAGAGTTGTAGAATTAGATTAGGATTTTTGTGGTAAGGAGCAGACCCGTTGTTCCCAAATGTTATGCATGTTACGCTCAACTAATATAACTTAATTAAAACCATAGTAATGAAAACAGTATCTTGGGTTTAAAAAAAAATTCTCTATTATAAGTACTGGAATGTTTATTTGAAAGAGCATGGCTTCTGGAAATGAGGATAATAGCCAACTTTAAGGATTCAAAGGAATATCATGGGAAAGAAAAAAAGGATCGGTAGAACTAGTTTTTGAGGTCTTTATAATTGAGCCCAAAACATGAAGTATGCCTAGAAAGTAATGTGCTTTTTCAAAAGGAAAGAAAAACAAAAATATAAGATACGGACATTCCTTTAGAGTGATGAACTTGGAAGGTATATTCTTATTCTGGTTATGCTTCCATTGTTCAGATTGACATTTTGTGAACACTTAAGAGCCTGTGTACTTTGTATCTACTGTAAAGTTTTGTGTCTGAAGATGAATGAGTGTTCTGAAATTGACATTCAGCTGTTATCAGGAGCTGGGCTTGATTAAGACAGATGATGAAGCTAAACAGATTTTGGTTAGAAATGGGTCCATTCTTTGGTTTAGCACTGGACTCTCAACAAAGGCTAGGCTCTGATGGTACCGAATGAGTAAGATAGGTTGTGTCCACTAGCAAAAATAGTAGATGTGCCTATGAAACAATGAGACTGTATTTTATGTGAGTCAGAAACTGATCTTGAAGGCATTCTAAAAAGAGTTTCGATGATATTTTGAGCACTAGCAGCTCTGGAATAAGAATGCAGCCATCTCAGGTGACTGCTGTTGAAGGGACCGCCACCCTAATTCGGTGGTAAAGTTCTGCCTCTGTCCTTCGAATGGCTTCTTGTAAAGTACTGACACAGATGCTCTCATGGAGACTGAGAAAATACAAGGCTAGTTCAAACCAAACAACATTCAGGAGCTCCGGTGTTAGAAATGGTAGAGTTGGAAGAGATTCCAGAATTCATCTGGCCTAACCTCCCATTAGAATGCCTTCCTGAAAGCCTTCCCATGGAGAGTACTGCTTATCTGCTGGTGGCTTTCCTCATTGGAGAGGGTTTTTGCTTTTGCTTTTGCCTTTGCTTTTTAATTTTATTTTTTAACTAAAATGATTTCCCTATAACTTTCTCTCCTTTAGTTTTAGTTCTGCCCTTTAGAACAACATACGACTATTCTCCCTCTTCAACATAACAATCCTTCAGACATTTGAAGACGGCCATCATGTCTCCCCTAATTTTCTCTTCTCCAGGTAGAACATCCCCATTTCTTTCAGCCTTTTCTTAAATTAGATGGTTTAGTGACCTCGTCAGTCCTGGTTGTTCTCATCTGAAAGCCCTTTAGGTTTCCAGAGTTCCTCTTAAAAGAGGTGCCACTGAGGATGGAGAGCAGTGCCTCAGGTGTGACGGGGCAAGTCCAGAACAGTGGGCAGGCCTGTTCCACAGTTAAGACAGCACCTGCCCGCTGCATGAGTTAACTTTTTTAACAGCCCCATCCCATTGTTGATGCATATTAATCTTGGGGTTAATGGAAATCAGATTTTTTAAATATGAAGTACTGTTAAGGCAGTGTCCCCTCCTCTCTAATTGTGTATTTGACATTTTTAGTTGACTCTCTGAATCTAAACACAGATACGTATGTATCTCTATTAAATGTCATATTCTTCTTTTTGATCCATTTGTTCTAGCTCAGTCATTTCAAACATTATTTTTGTCATTTGTCCCATTATATATCTCTCTCGGCATTGTGTTATTTGCAAATTCGGTAGATATGTCTTATCTTTCAAGTTACTGATAAAAAATAATGTTGAATACCCGGAGCTTGGAGAGAGAGAGAGAGGGCGCCAAAGCCAGCAAGCCCAAAAGTATTCCACTGGAGAACTCTTTTGCCAGTGACACGGATTTAAAATTCTTGGGGAAAGACTGTTCTGTAAATTAAAAATATTTTATTATCCAGTCTACATTTTCTCTTATTATCTTACAAGAGATTTCACGGAGGGCTTTTTTGGAGTCAATATGTAACTTCCACCACATGCCTCTGACCTACCAGTGTAGTCATTTTACCTGAATAGGAAGTGACATCTATTTGGTGTCTTATTCTTGTTGAACCCGCCTTAGCTCCTAATAATTGCTAATCACAAACCATCTATTTTATTTATTCTGGAAGATCTTGAGTGTCCATAATTGCAGATTGATACATTGTCCTCACCTTTAGTGACAATTTTATTGTTGGGTTGATTTAGTCAGTTTCCAGATGAAATAGGTTGGGTGTATATTAATGGATGAGCTTGTTTATAGTAAATTACTCTGTACAATGATCTTTGAAGAGAAATCAGTACATTTTGTCCTATCTACTTACAAACTAGAAGTAACTTAATGGTAATGTCAGCATACATCACTGACAACTAGTAACCAAGAATGGAATAAATGAAAAAGATAAAGAGGAAAACCAGTGTACCTTTCAGAGAACTCCTTCCTGGTTCCTGGAATTTTATGGAAGTGCAGTGGACATTTAGGGCTTCTGAACTGAAGTTTCTCCTAGTTTACAAAAGGGTGTAGGTAAGGTAGGTGGGGGTAGAGGCCCAAAACTTAAGTGCCTAAGGGTCTGGACAGGCAATGTGAACGAACGAAGGTGACCAAGTAAAAGAAGTAAGAGCCGCGGGGACTGTGACAGGCCCTGGCGAAAAGAGGCAGCCACAACCCAGCTCGGGCCGTTTGTTGTTGTCCGGGCTGGGTGTGCCAGGTCTCCTGATTCTGTGAGACCCTAGAAATCAGGGTTTTTATGTGAAATTTCCTGCTGGTCAAATAATGGCAATTAAATTTGAATCTTGGAAAGTACTAATCAGAACAAAGCGTGCTTACAGGCCACCAGCTTGCAACGTCAGTCTTAAGCTGTGGCCAGGCAAGAAAAAGAAAAACG